CTTTAAGGTCCCTTCCCACCCAAACCAGTCTGGGATTCTCTATGACCCCAGGCCAGCAGTGCAGGTCAGAGTAGGTCCAGGCAGCCCCCCAGGAGCTGCATTATCTCCATTGCTGCTGTCGTGACTGCAGACTGGATGTGGTTAGATTGCAGTTGGCAGCTGCTGTGGTCCCCTGAGCATCATGGAGAAAGGACCATCCCCTCCAGTTCCAAGGCTAACACCTCTGGAAAATGAGCTCTGCACTTCCCTGGGCCTGGTTGCAAAAGCAGAAGAGCAGCACTTTGGCCCCAGAGGGCCATCTCATCTTTCTAGAGCTCACATTTCTGATCTAGCTCTGGGGCAGCTCTCATTTAGAGACTTGTTGGTCTGCTCACTGTCCTCCAGGCAGCTCCTGGGCAGGTTGTGGTGTCCCCTGGAGGGCAGGGATCCAGCTGCTCCATCCAACACCAGTTTGAGTAAATTATTACCACGTTAGCACCACTAAAATAATGAGAAGAGAAATTCGGGGGGTCTGAATTGTCCATGTTTGCTCCAACACAGTCCTGGGGTTGTCATAATTCTACCAGTGGAAAAGCCTTTTTGGATAAATTCCCTCTGTCCTGTTCTGGAAGGTGCTGTGAAGTCTCAGGTACAGCCCCCCCAACCTGCCCCCCTTCCTTTCCTTCAAGTACCATGACAAATTAATAACAACAATTAAAAAAAAAAAAGCTAATGCACCTTTATTGCCTCAGCTGGGTCACGTCTTCCCTGCTTGAGGGAAGGGGCCTCATCACCCTGTGCTCCTTCCCATTGCTTTGGAGCTGCTGGTGGCTTCATCCCAGGGCTTGCTCTGATCCCAAATACCTCCCCCGAAGTCAGTCCCCCCCGACCCCCCGCGGCTCCCTTATTATGCACACATTAGCGTGCAAATGAGGACGGGGAAGGGGGGTGCTGCCCCCTCCCCCGGCTCAGAACAGGGTGGCTTCTTTCTGGCAGATCCACTGCAGCCCCGCGGTGCAGCTCTCGGAGCCGATCCTGCCCCCCCTCAGCACCCCGCAGGTTTTGTTCCTTTCGTCCTCGGGGCTCAGCGGGAACCTGGGGGGTGCAGGAGGGACCCCCGTGTCACGGCACGAGGGTCGCTGGGGTGACGGGGGGGTCCCCATCCCCATCCCTGCTCACCAGCCCTGGTCCAGGCAGGAGCCGTTCAGCCACGTCCAGCCCGTCCCGCCCGAGGGGGCGGAGAGGCCGATCCAGAAGTAGCGGGTGGGTTTCTGGAGCAGTTGGTCTAGGAAATCCTGGGCGGGGACAGAGGGGAGACGGTGACACCCACGGGACACGGGTCGCCGGCCCAGCCCAGGCTCCAGCTTGTCCTTGTCACCAGTGTCCCCTGACAGACACCTGGCAGGCTTGGGCACAGGGGTGGGCGCTGACCTCCCATTTCTGGTGACCCCTCTCGACCCTTCCCCAGGACAAAACACCTTGGTGAGTTCCCTCCCAAGTCCCTTCAGACCCCCCCTAGTTCCCCCAAAGCCCTGCACAAAGGGGTGACACCAGCAGCTGGGGGACACCCAGCTCCCACTGTTGGGGTCACAGCTGAGACCCAGCTCAGCAGAGACAGGAGGGCAACCGGCCAGGGTGTCTGAGGAGCCACAGCCTACAGGAAAGCCCCCCCCAGATCCTCCTCCCTCCCTCCCTGCCTCAGTTTCCTCAGCTTCAGCAGCTCTGGGGGACACCACCTGCCTTCTGAAGTCACCCCCACCCCCTATTTCCTCTCTGCCCACCCCTCAATGTTGGCAGGGAGGCCCCCAATACCTGCATCCTGCAGGGGGTCCGGGCTCCCCTCAGCCCCCCGCTTGTCCAGCACCATGTACCCCTGCTCGTCCTCCATGGCACCAAGAGCCGGGAGGGCCCAGGGCTGGGGACAGGGAGGAGGGGACAGGAAGCCACCACTGACCACTGCCTGGGGCTGGGACATCTAGGTGCAGAGTGGCAGCAGGGCCCGAGCTTCCTGCCAACTCACAGCCCCGTGACCCCAAAGCTGCCAGCAGCAGCAGCCCTGACGCCCAGCTGAGGGGCACGGGAGGTTTTCCTCCAGAGAAAGGAAAGCTGGGCCTGGGGGACAGGACAAGCAGCTCCTGGCAGAGAAATGGGTAAAAAACTCTCTTTCCCCCCCTCAACAAGGCAATGGTGAAACACAGAACATTTCTGTGAGGCTACTGAATCAGCTTTGACACGTCAGGGGACAAGAGAAGAGCTTCTCCCCGTGGCACAAACCTCCCCAAAATGGGATTTGCCTCAGCCCGGGAGGAGCAAAGCAAGGCAACAGCAGGTGGGACGGCCCCAACAGCACTCCTCTCCTGTCCCCCCTGCCAGCTGAAGCCCCTAACTGGGATGCTGGAGGATGGATGGACTGGGAGCACTGGGAGGGGCCTCCCCGGCACAGCCACCGCCCCAGCACCGCTCTGGCAGGGGACACTGTGAGGTTTGTCACCCCCTGTCCAGGTGGGGTTGGGCCCTCACACCTGGGGCTGCTCCCATCTGCTTCTGGGGCTGCTGCAGAAGCACCTTCTTGAGGGTGATCAATATCTGGGGGGCCCAAGAGCCCCCCAGGACCCTGGGGAACATGGGGTGACAGAACAGAAGGGACACACACGGCAGGTTACACTTTATTCCAACACTGGTCTCTCAGATGTGTCACAAGGGCCACCACACCTCAGCTGTGTCCCCTGGGCTGCAGAGTGGGAACATCTGCCAAGCTTGTTCACCCTGAGAACAGTCAGACATTGGTACAGTCTCCAAAGTGAAGTGGTGGATTCCCCCACATCTGACAGTTTGAAGCCTTAGCTCAACAGATGCTGGGCCACCTCACGTCAACTAGAGTACTCCTAGAAAGGTTTGGACCAGATGATCCTTGGAGTCCCTTCCAACCTGGCATTCTAGGATTGTTGGATAATACAGCACGTAGATGATACTCTTTTAGGAGTGGAAGGACTGAATCAGTCTACAGCCCTCTGGACAGATCTGCTGGATTTCTTGGGCAATGCAGGATATGGAGTGTCCCGGAAAAGGCTCACATCACAAGACAGAGTGTTATCTACTCAGGGGTTGAAATCATCAAGGGAGAGAGAAGGTTGGAAACTGAGCCCCAAGAGGCAAATTTGCCAGTGTCACCTGCCAGAGGATGGGTGTTACAAGCCCCTGCAGCCTCCCTCCCTCCCTGGCTCTGCTGAGGATTCAGCCCAGCCAGGTGCTGGGATCAGAGGGAAGAGCAGGAACCCAGCCCGGGGCAGGGGCCAGGTCATCTCCACTGCCTGCACCTCCTGGAGCCTGGACAAGCCAGGCCTGCATTCCAACCCTCCTCCAGGCTGGCAGCTCTGCACATCCCTGCCTTCAAGGGCCACAGGAGGAACCAAAACAGTTTCTGCTTTTATTGGGACACTTTCACACGGTCCTGCTAGAGGAGAAGCAGCAGGAGCCAAGGTGCCAGGCCAGTCAAGTCACGGGGGCTTGAGGAAGATCCCACCAGCTCAGCTCCTGCAACTGCTCTGTCACACCCATGGCAGATGCATCTCCAGGAGCCCATTTCCCTTCATGCTGCTGCTCAGTCGTGCCCCTCAGTGTGAGGAGATCCTGGCAGACACCAAACCAACAGCCAGCAGGGAGGAGGAGGGGGCAGGGCTTTGCTTTTCTCTTGTGATGCGTCGCCTCCCTTGTTTGACCAGAGGTCTGGGGTGCTTTGAAACCAGAAGGGCACCTCAAGTGGTGTCTGTGCCCAGAGTCTGGAGAGAAGAGGGATCCTTCAGGAAGAGGTGATGGCTTTGGCAGCCAGTCAGCAGATGAAGCTCAGGTATTTGGCTGCACTTTACCTGTTTCACAGAGCTGGGACCTCTTGGAGTCAACAGGCCTCTCCATGCCCATGATGGATGTTTGGCCTAAAGACTTCCAGCAGTGTCAGAGAAACCTCTGCAAACAGAGAGCAATGGATGTCCCCGTGCAGAAGGAGCTGCCTCAGCCCTGGCAGAAGGTGGAACAAACCCCTCCCAGCCCCTCACAGCAGCTGCTCTGCAGGGACATTATGTCCTCCTGCACCTCTTCCTTTGGCAGCCCTCTGCCTCCGAGCCGCAGGAGCTGTCCGAGTCGCTTCCCGAGGAAGAGGAAGAAGAGGAGGAAGGCTTCGAGGTGCTATAGTTCATGCTCCAGACCCAGCCCAGTTTGTTGTGCAGCACCTGCTTGAGTCCTGGTGGCAGTGGCAGCACCTCCAGAGTGTCCACGTAGCCGGGCAGGAGCTGGCGCAGGCGGTAGCAGCAGAGGAACTGCAGGGAGGTGCAGCTGGCGCAGGAGCGAATCACCTTCATGCTGCTCTTGGCTGCTGTCGAGCAAACCATGGGGTAGAACTTCTTGTTCTGCAGCTTGGTGGCTGCAACCCCTGCCAGGAGAGAGGGAGAGCACCACGGGGGGCTCACATCAGTTCCAAGAAGGTAGGGGGCTGTAAGGGACCAGCCCTCAGGACCCCCCCCCTTGTTGGAATTGTCTGGAAAGCCCATGGGAACCCCTAAACAAAGTCTCCTTTGCACCCCAAAAGGCCTGAGAGGATGGAGAGAGGGTCTGCAGGTGGCCTGAGGCTGCAGGTACAGCCACTGAGATAAGGATGGAGGGGGCAGGTCCACTCCAGCTGCTCAGGCTTATGACTCAAACACACTCTTGCTCATCCTTGCAAAACGAGGAAGCTGCCTCTAAAACAGGGGGGGCTGCAATGGGGGCTCTGGGAGCCTTCCTGACACCCACTGTCCCCTGTTGGCCCAACGCTGGATCCAGGACTGGTGACTTTCTATGATTTATATCTCTCTAAATTTTCCTTCTCCTCCTCTCCCTCTCTTCCTTCCTATCATTAAGTAACACGAGGCCTACCTATGATTTTTTTCTCAGGTTGTGGAGCTGAAACATCTCTGCATTGTACCCTTGTGATCTGTCAGCCTTTATGGTCGTGCAGCCTACAATAATAATTGAAGTGTCCATATTCCTTTTATAGCTTCCAGTAAACCTAATCTTCAAATACAGACCCTGAGTGTCCTTGCACCTTCAGCTGACCAAGGGCTATTGGACATTCGAGCATTTCCTCAGACTGTGACATTTTAATCACTCTCCCTGGAAGGGCCAGGTCTGAGACAAAGGTTGGATCCAGCTGGGCTCCTCTCTGAGGAGGAATTTAGAAAGCCAGGGGGTCCAGTCTGAACCTCTCTGGGTTGCCCCACTCAGGTCATGACAGGGTCTCAGTCCTCCCAGCTGCCCTGAGCCTGTCACCTGCTGAGCTGCTGGAGAGTGCTTGGGAAACACCCACTTGTAACCCGCATCTGGGAAACACCCGAAACCTCCCACCCACTTCACACTTTGGTATTTTGCTCCAGCAGCATAGTGTGTGCCCCCCAGCTCTGCCTCAGGCTCAGCAGGGCTGTGCTGCTCCCTCCCCTGCCCCTGCCTGCCCTGCCTCTCACCGATGCACTTGCGGTTCTTGAAGAAGGTGAGTGTCCCGTGCCACGTGTCCAGGTGCACCCCGATGATGGAGCCTTGGCCAAACCTCGAGGAGAAGCTGGTTTTGTCTCCCTTGTGATGCAGCAGCCCTGAGCACAAGGCCACAAATGGTGTTCAGAGGAAAGACAGTCCTGCACAGACCCACCCCAGCTCCCACACTGCCACTTCCCCCTGGCACAGCCTCGCTTACAGCCTAAAAAAAAGCCCCCCCGGGCCCGGCCCTGCCCTCCCACCCCAGAGAAGGGGATGAAAAGGGGAAGGTTGAGGCTTTGTGCACTGCCACTCAAACCCCTGATCTGTGTAATGTGTCCTGGCACCCCAGGAGGTCAGGCACTGGTTCCCAGGGCTCTGCAGAACACAGGCAAGGCCAGAAGCTCGAAGAGCTGGGAGCTGCTGCCAGCCCCTCTGGCGGTTGTCGACGGGGGGACTCAGGGCTCTGGTGGCATTTCTGGCCCCCATTCCATTTAATTCTCAGCCCCTGGGACAACACGTAGGCCCAGAGCTGCCCTCCAGCTGCCCTGCCCTCTGCCACTGCCCTGCCTGCCCCACCTGTGTAGGAGAGTCCCCAGCTGTCCTCATCCCTGCCCAGCAGGCTGCAGAAGGTGTGGCGGTACTTGTCCAGGTTCACGTCCGATGTCCCGATTCCCACCATCTGGGGGGCAAGGCCAGGAACAAGAACACAGGCTCAGCACCTTGCCCAGGACACACATCCAAGACTCCACCTCTGGCTCTCCCCTCCTCTCCTTGGCACAGTCCACATTACCCAGAGGCTCTGGTGCAGCCAACTCAGAGTTGTCGGGCTGGGGTTCAAGGCTCCCAGCTCCAACTGCCCTTCCTCAGTCAGGAGGCCCAGCTGAACTGCTGGAGAAGCCTCCTGTCCTGTTCAGAGAATCCCAGACTGGTTTGGGTTGGAAGGGACCTTAAAGATCATCCAGTCCCACCCCCCTGCATGGGCAGGGACACCTCCCACCAGCCCAGGTTGCTCCAAGCCCCATCCAACCTGCCCTTCAACACTGCCAGGGATGGGGCAGCCACAGCTTCCCTGGGCAACCTGGGCCAGGCTCTCACCACCCTCACAGCAAAGAATTTCCTCCTAGTGTCCAGCCTCAATCTCCTCTATTCCAGTTTTAATCCATCCCCCTTGTCCTCTCCCTCCCTCCCTGCCCTTGTCCCAAGTCCCTCCCCAGCTTTCCTGGAGCCCCTTCAGACACTGGAAAGGTGCTCTAAGGTCTCCCTGGAGCCTTCTCTTCTCCAGGCTGAACACCCCAACTCTACCAGCCTGGCTCCAGAGCAGAGCTGCTCCAGCCCTCCCATCATCTCCGTGGCCTCCTCTAGTCCCACTCAAGCAGGTCCATGTCTGCCTTATGCTGTAGGCCCCACTGCTGGACACAGTTCATCACCTGCAAAGTCATCCAGAAACCTGCTGGGGGTGCTCTCAACACCAGTGTCCAAGTCCCTGACAGAGATGTTAAATAATATGGTCCCGGTATGGACCCGAGGGTCGTCCCTCATCACTGGTCTCCACTCAGCCATTGAGCTGCTGACCACAAGCTGTGAGTGTGACCCTCCAGCCATCTCCTTATCCACCAAGTGGTCCACTTGTCAGCTCCACGTCTCCAATTTAGAATCCAGGATGTTGTGCAAAACACACCCTTTGCACAGTTCCAGGCAGGTGGCATCAGTTGCTCTTCCCTTATCCACAAATGCTGCAACCCCATCATAGGACACCAAATTTGTCAGGCAGCCTTTGCCCTGGATGAAGCCATCCTGGCTGTCACAAATCACCTCCTTATCTTCCCTGTCCCTTATCAGTTTCCAGGAGGATCTGCTCCACCATCTTGCCAGACACAGAGGTGAGACTGACTTGCCTCTCACTCCCTGGGTCTTCTTTTTTCCCCTTTTTAAAAATGGGGGCTGTGTCCCCCCTTATAAAATATGGGGTCTGTGTATCCCCTTGTTTAAAATGGGGTCTGTGTGTCCCCTTTTCCAGCCTGTGGGAACTTCATTTACCTGCCACAACTTCTCAACCACCTAAGATGGTCCCTCAGCGACACCACCCACCCGCTCCCTCGTCACGTCCCACTGGTGGTTCTTCCTTCTCTGTTTTAGAGAACACTGGCCATTTCTGCCAGCCCAGAGGTGACCCTGCCCCACGTACCATGTCTGTGCCATAGACTGGGGATGTCATCTTGATCTCCCAGAAGTGCTGCCCCTCAGCCAGCTCCTTGTTCCCGCGGATGGCGGCGGTGCCGCAGCTGTACTCGCTGTGGAAGTTCACCTTGCGGTTGTCGCAGCTCAGCAACGTGGCCGTGGACTTGTTCAGGTCATCCCACACCCAGTCAAAGTCTGGGAAGCAGAAAGGATGCACAAGGATGGGCAGAGATCCCCCCTCCAGGGAGCCAGGCCACAGCACAGCTAGGGGGTTTGATTTGGAGATGGGAGTTTTCCTTAGTGGGTTTTTGTTTTACTGTTGAAGAGGGGAAAGCCTGAGCTTTAGAGAGTTGTTTGGGCACTGGGGAAGCTGCATCTCAAATCCTGGGGTCAGTTCTGGGCCCCTCAGGACAAGAAGGACATGGAGGGGCTGGAGCGTGTCCAGAGCAGGGCAAGGGAGCTGGGGAAGGGGCTGGAGCACAAGTGTGAGCAGGAGCAGCTGAGGGAGCTGGGGGTGTCCAGCCTGGAGACAAGGAGCTGAGGGGAGACCTGCTGGATCTGCAGCTGCTGAGAGGAGGTTGGAGCCAGGGGGGTTGGGCTCTGCTCCCCAGGAACAAGGGATGGGACAAGAGGAACCGGCCTCAAGTTGCACCAGGGGAGGTTTAGATGGGATCTTGGGAACAATTCCTTCCTGGAAAGGGTTGTCAGGCCCTGGCCCAGGCTGCCCAGGGCAGGGGTGGAGTCACCATCCCTGGAGGTGCTCAAAAAATGTGCCCATAGGCACAGGACATGGTTCAGTTGGATAGTGGTTTTGGGCTGCTGGTTGGACTTAATGATCTTAGAGGTCTTTCTCAACCTTAATGACTCTATGACTCTATCTTCCTACAGGCTACAGGGCCCTGAGATGCAAAGAAAGGAGCTGGGCCAGCTCAGGGCTTCTGCAGAAAGTGGGGAATCCGTGCAGGGGATCCAGTAGCACCCACCACCCCCTGGGGGCTCAGGGGGTGGCCCTGGGGGAGCCCCATCCTTACACTCATCCTCCTCCCCACACTGGCAGTCCTGGAGGTGGTGCAGGCCATGCAGGCTGGAGCAGTAGGGAGCTTCACTCTGGCTCTCACAGTTGCAGTAGGACTCGCCGGTGACGGGGATGGCGCTGGGGATGGAGGGCGAGAGGGAGGAGAACTCCAGCTCTGAGTCTGAGTCACTGTGCTGCAGGGAGAGCAGAGGGATGGTCAGCATGGATTGTCCCCAGGCTCAGGGAGTTGGGCTGGGAGACAGGTCTGAGGGTTTGGTGGCTGCAGGGGGAGGTCCCCAGGGGTGGTGACACCCCCAGGCTTGTGCCACAAGCTGGCAAGGGGCTGTGTCAGCTGAATGACCCAGCTTTGGGACTTGGGTGATGTCCACCTGTGCTGGAGACACCTCCTGCAACAAGGCTGGATGCAGGAATGTCCTGGTTGTGTCTGCAGGCTGTGGAGGCTCCATCTCTGGAGACATTCCAAACCCAGCTGGGCACCATCCTGTGCAACTTGCTCTGGGTGACCCTGCTCTGCTCTGGGAGGGAGACTGGGCTGGATGATCTCCAGAGGTGCCTCCCAGCCCCCAAGTTTCTGTGATCCTGTGGATCTGAGCCTTCCAGGGGCCAGGAGCTGTCACAGAAGGCAAGCAGCATGACCCTCCAAGCCTTTCACAGCCACATTTTTAAACAAAATGTGGAAAATGTCAATGGGCAGGTCCCAGCCACCCAGGCAAGGCACAACCACAGCAGAGCACACTGCCCTGGAGAGCCTGGGGGTGATGGAGGAGAGAGGGGGGTAAAGAGGAGGAAAAGGGACAGGAGGGCAGGCAGGAGAGAGGACAGAGCAAAGGGGACTCAGCTGCAACCAGGCCCATGGGAACCTGAGGAAGGATTAAAAAGCATCTGTTTGCTTCCATGCACCAACACCAAAACTCAATTTACTGTCCCCCAGGGCCAGGAGACCAAAGGGTCCAGGTGCTGTAGGAGTCAAAGCCTCACCTAACACTGATGGCACGTGAGGCTCAGTGCCACATGATGGAGTCAGTGCCACCTGATGGAGTCTCTCACAAGTGGCAGTGAGTTA